CACACACACACACACCTCTTATTTATGCTTTTATTCATTTTAACCCTTTAGCGTTCCGGTCAACCTTTGGTAGAGCACATTTTCAGGCCCTAACTGAGGCTTTCACTGACATTGACCTGCCTTGTTGAGTCTTTTCTACCAATTGGCTTTTCATCTGTAATGCCAAAAAAAGCCACCAGAAGGTGCTGTGAGTGGAAACTGTGGGCTCTTCTTAAACCTCTCCCAAACAGGAAGTCAGAAACAAAAAACCGTCCAACATATTTTGAGTGTTTTTGATCAAACTAAGGCAGGAAGATATAACTTTTTGATATATGACAGTGTTGATAAATCACATTAAGAATATGCTGAAAGAATTTCCTCAGTAAGTCAGTTTTGTAACTTTCTGAGTTAATATTAGTAAATATTGTAAAAATCAAGAATATCACAACTGATTAGCTTTTAACCAAATTACCGTAGCTGATAAATTAATATTAGTAAGTTTTCAAAATTATAATTTGTGCTATATGGACGCTAAACAATTATATGGCTAAAAGTCACATGGTCCTGTGGCATGACACTCATGATGCCATCCACCTTCAACCACAGCGTGTCTGAGGTCATGGTTTCATATGGAGCCACAAGAGCTGGCACTCCTCACCAGTATATTTCCAACAAACCAGATGAGTGGGGCTTTAAATTGTTCATCTGGCATCATCCACGACTTGCTGCTGTGTGAGGAGGATCTACATTCTTCAATGCTCCCCTGAGTGAAAGCAACAGAAGCTCCCTCTAAGGGGCCAAAGCGGTAAACAACACTTTGCAAACCTATCAAAGAACCTCGGTTCTTCACAAGTTTCTGCTTGGTCCAGAACTTGCACACCTCCTCTGGTGTCAGGTGCATTGGTACTGTATGACCAAACTGATGGCAGACAAAGACCTGATGAAGAGCGGCCATGCAGCCTGTGATTACAGGTCTGATGAAGGTCTGATTGCAATGAAATGATTTGACAACAAATGTGTCAACCTCCTAAACAAGGCCTGTGGGTTCGTGCTTCTTTCATCGGTCAAACGGTGGAGCAAAGAGTCCAACGCAAAGATCACCATCCCTGTGTATAATTAGCATTTGGGAGGAATTAAACTTTCTGATATGCTATTACACCTGTATAAGACAAGTTATAAGTTACAAGTTAAGGAGATGGCATATCCCACTGTTCGGATACATCCTTGACTTGAATACCTGGTCTACAAGAGGGACTGTGCCCTGCTGGACCACAAACCGATGGCTCTCAAAAGGTTTCCGCCTGGCTGTGTCTGAACCAAGTTAACAAGCCAGCATGTAGAGCTGGTCAACCCTGATCCAGCTCTGCAAGACCAAAGCTACACCCTAAGACCCCAACGACCAAAACCACAAGCAGATGTGCTGATTGGCACTGTTTTTATTTTGCACAGTAGCATTCAGTCAGAAGTGGCCTGGATGCAGCACATGTATTTTGTTGTTTGATGTAATGCTTTCCTTTGATGGAATGAAAACAGCAATGTTCACTGAATGCTACCACCCAATGCCCTGGATAGTTTCCATTAATATAATCAGAATTTGGCCCTTTGATTTTTTTCAGCTGTATTATCTAATGTACTTGTGTTTGCATGACATTTCATACTCTTATCATTAAGTGGCATCTCAACCGTTTGGTAGAGATCAATATTTTAAAAACTAAACTACTGATTGTGGTCATTACTCCCCAAATCAATAAGAAATGCAAACAAAAAAATGTGCATTGCTTTTTCCTTGGTGAGGACATCAAAGGGTTTTAGGACATTTGTTAATTTATTCCTACTTTTAACCACACAAGAGCAAACGGGCTGAAAGGAAAGTCACTTCCTGTTGCCGTGTGACACAAAGCTAACTCAGCCGTGGAGGAAACATGTGACACTCACGCTGTCCACGAGGTTGGCGAGCAGAACCATCTCCTCCCTCACTGCCGTCGCGTTCCTGCTCATGAAGTTAAACTGGGGAGAGAGAAACACACGGTTACACGCCGCCCGCTGCAGCAGTCCACCTCCACCCGGTGTCGTGCTCTCACCCTCTCGTTGTCGACCACCAGCAGCAGCTCCACGTAGTGCGTCTTGTGGAGGACGGCTCTCCTCACCTGGAACAGAAACACGGTTACTCTCTGAGAGCGCACGGCGGCGCTCACGCTGCTGGAGCGCCATCATCGCTGCTCGAGACGTCAATGTAAAGTCAACATAAACTGTAAAGGAATGATGGCATGACTCCAGAGCTGGAACAGGTCAAAGTTCAGGGTACAGGAAGTCAGCGTGCGCCGTGTGCGTGAGGGAAAACGCACCCGTCTGTGCTGCCCGTGAGGGATCTCCTCCCAGCTGGCCTGAGCACGCTCTGTAGAGTTGGGGCCGTGCTCGTAGTGCGGCGTTTGGCACCCTCGCGGCTGTGATGTCACATCCTGCAGGCGATACACCAGGTGCTGGTCGGTGGAGGAGTCTAGCGGCTCAATCCCATAGCTGCCATCACTGAGGTGCATCACTCCTCTGAAAACACACACACACGCACAGACACACACACACAGACACACACACACAGACACGCACAGACACGCACACACACACACTGAGTGTCAGACTTGTTGTGCTGCAGTAAATGACGTGTTCGTTAAATCCTCTCACAGCGACCTCGCTCACTAAAAGTACTTTCTGATACTGAACAAACGCGGCGACTGTTTCAGACTCGCCTCAATCCTCGCCATGTTTGATGGACCCGTGTGTGCGTGTGTGTATTACCTGAGGCCGTTGCAGATGCTCATGGCGACGGATGAGCCCTCCACGCCCTGGACGAAGCCGCGATAGTGACAGTGGTCCTGAAACACAGACAGCTGACTGCAGCACCCACACACACCAGTGGGGGGCGCCACCACGCCTCCTATCCACACACACTGCTGTGACTGAATCACATGTTCATAACTAGACGGAGTTTCAGTGACATCACTGCCGCGATTCTTGCTGTATCAGTCCCACTGGAGCTCACACACTTCCTGTCTGTGTGTGTCTGTGTTCCTGTCTAGCTATCTTTGTGAGGACCAAAATCTGCATTCTACTATACTTGTGAGGACACACACACGCACACACACACACGCACACACGCACACACACACACACGCACTCACCGGTCTCACAAGTTTGAAGCCTTTTTGAGGCTCCAAATGTGGTTTTAGTGTCAGGGTTACCGTTAGGCTGTGGTCAGGTTTAGGGCCAGGCGTTCATCTGTAATGGTTAGCGAAAGCATTATGTCAATGAAGGTCCTCACTGGGATAGCTGAACGGGCTTGTGTGTGTGTGTGTGTGTGTGTGTGTGTGTGTGTGTGTGTGTGTGTGTGT